TTTGGTCTAGGACCAACGGGGGCGGAGATAAGAGGGGGGTCAAAAAGGGTACTTTGTTGGAAAACGTGAAAAAAACGGAATTTCTCTGAATAACTCGCTAAATGTTGGTTTTAGAGAAAAAACTCAAAGGACCAAAATGAAAGTAGACGAAAAATTACTTCGGAAAGTGCACGTGTGCGGAGCCGATGAAGGGGAGGAGGAGGGGGAGGGGGCGAGCGCAAAACCTCTCTTCCTGGCGCCGCGCGACGGCACTGGCATAAGGCGCTATACGCGCAGTTTCGGGTATCTCTGGCGGCCTCGGTCCCGGTCATAACGGATGCTTCTTTGTCCTTATTTTAGAAAGGGGCCTCTGGCTTCCCCCTCCCTCTTGTTGGTCGTTTGTATGCTTTTTGTGTCCTCTGGAAACCAGTTCAAGATCCCTCTTCAGTGCGTCTGTGTTGTCGCGTCGTGTGCATCACGCTATATTGCTCCGTGCGGAAATTCGGAATCTACGCCAAAAAATACATAAGAATCAGTCATAACCTCTTGGACACCAAATTTTTGACTAAACTCCCCTATTTAGGTCTCTATTGACTGGACTAAAAAAAGAACCAGCAATAAAAAAACCTGGCTAAACACAAATACAAGAAATAAATCAATTACAGGTAGCAATGTACAAACAGAAATACGAAAATCAAACACCTCAAATCGTACAACAAAAATCAAGTAATAAAGGCAAATGTGGCTAGAACAAATTAATCAAAAACGATAGATACACATGACATAATTACAAATTGTGAACAAAATAAATCATTGGGCCTTGGGGTATAAAAACACTACCTGAAAAAAAACATCGAGAGTTCATTTTAAACAACGTAGAGCAGGCATGACCTTGTCCCGACCTTGCTTATCATTCATTTATTACGTAACAAGTGCACGTGCACCTGAGAATGCCAACACGGGTATTCAAGCGGAAGCAGACCACACCACATACAAAAATCCACATTTTAAACAGAAGAGAAATTAATCAGAGGGCCCACCTTTCTCGCTAATGCGAGACGCTAAGAACTGCAGCCTGCGCGAGAAGAAAAAAAGAAACATATACAGCGACAGAGCAAACTGCATGTGGTTCTTCTCTTCCACGGAAATAAATTATTAAACCAAACATTCAGGGCAGTAACATTCTAGCAATCCACTCCCGCGTAAACACATTCAAATAATCATGGGAAACATTGCGGCATAATCAGGCGCACAAGGAGCCAAGCTAAAACATGACTCATTTAACGGTAAACTCAAACAATAGCCGTCCACGCCATGCCTGCAATCAGCAGAGGTCAAATCTAAAGCAAAATTCAAAACGAAAACAAATAAGGCATGAAATTTAAACATCGAATTTAAAATAGCTTAAATAAAACGAGTACTACCTTGATATCGCTTGGAAAAATATATCAAACACTAACTAAACTTTGAAAAGCACACCAAACCGCTACTCCACCATCAAAATCCGGACCACCAGTGCTCCCGCCGACGCCACTCTCCAGTTTTTTGTACTAAATTCACGTCTGCGCAAAACGGAATTCTAAAATTCCTTTAGTTGTAAGATGTGTTGCCTATCGGTAGGGGTTCAACATCACAATATGATAGTCAATAAATGACGTCATAAAGGTCAAAATTTTTCTACGCCTACTTATATAAAATTTTGGAGGGAGTTGTAACTCCCAAACCCCCCTCCCATGAGTGCGCCCCTGATATTTTAAACATCTGATGTAATTACTTTCATCGTTTTGTTGCCTAGAATAGATTTTGTTTTTTTGTTTTTAGCGCATTTTTGCAAATTTATTTGTAAAAAGTAGCTTTTAATCTCACTTTGGCTGGCTGGCTGGCTGGCTGGCTGGCTGGCTGGCTGGCTGGCTGGCTGGCAGCAAATGTGGGCGCGTAGAAGAACTCTTGTAGAAAGGCAACGGGTGTACGTGTATCTACAGGGCCGTGAAATTTGTCAACCTTAGGGGCATGGCTACATGATGTGGGGTTGGCGACATCTGGGCGTCATCCTCGAGCGTAGTATACTAACGTGAAGGTTTTTCAGTTTTTTCCTATCTTCTACTACAGTTTTGGTCCGATTCTTTTGAAATTGGTGTCGTCGGAAAGATGTAAACGCGCACAACTCCTGCATGGCGGAATTTTGTTTTTTGTCATAGGGGCGAAATTAACGACCTTTTGCGAGACGCGCGTCTTCGAGAAGTAGTCAACTTCGGGCGCCTTTTACCTTCCGTTGCGAACTCACGCGGTTTAACGTTTTGTAAATCTCGAATCGCTGTCTCTCTTTCTCGTGTCGCCAATAGAAGTGAATTGCGAGTGAACGGGACGTCGGAAGTGGGTACCGTAAAAGAGAATGTGGTAGCCCGCGACACGATCTCACTGATGGTGGAGTCAAATCTTCAATCGCGAATTGCGGGTGAACGGGACGTCGGAAGGGGGTACCGTCAAAGGAAATGTGGTAGCCCCCGACACGATCTTCCTGATGGTGGAGTCAAATCTTCAAACGCGAATTGCGGGTGAACGGAACGTCGGAAGTGGGTACCGTCAAAGGGAATGTGGTAGCCCCCGACACGATCTTCCTGATGGTGGAGTCAAATCTTCAAACACGAATTGCGGGTAAACGGGACGTCGAAAGGGAGTACCGTCAAAGGGAATGTGGTAGCCCCCCACACGATCTTCCTGATGGTGGAGTCAAATCTTCAAACGCGAATTGCGGGTGAACGGAACGTCGGAAGTAGGTACCGTCAAAGGGAATGTGGTAGCCCCCAACACGATCTTACTGATGGTGGAGTTAAATCTTTAAAAGCGAATTGCGGGTGCACGCGGAAAGTGGGAAGCGGTTAGTGAATGTAGTAGCCTTCGACAAGATCTGTTATTGATGGTTGAGTCGAAAGTGGCTAATAGAATACTCATCTGCCACACAAAAATGCGCTGAAGTCCCTTCGATCTCAAACGAGGACTTTGATAATTTTTTTAAATTCATCATAGCCTACTTGATTAAAATATAAAAACCGTTGATATAACTGGTATCTTATTTTCAATATTATGCTATGATAGCTCGTTGAAAAGAGAATTAAAAAATCTATCAAATAATCTAAAAATCCAATGTGGCGCCTCTTTAACTTGTAAATGTTCCTCGAAGGTAGCCATCTTGAATTTTTTTTACATCAATTCTAAATTAGGCGTATTAAAGACAGTGACTTTTTTTATATCTCTTATACTTTCGATGATATAAGACATTAAAGGAAATAACCAATTTTAGTTTTTTTGAATTTACGTCGAACCTATTCGACATTTTGAATTTCCACAAGGAAATTTTAAATAAGCATCTAAAACTGCAAAACATTGTCCATTTAACCAATTCTCTATTTTCAATAATAAGAAAGTTGCCCTTGCAATCCCACCCGATCTGGGACACACTGTATATCCATTCTAGTACTTAACCGGAAAATTAGAGATTACTCTATGTAGGCGGATGCAATCAGCTCTTAGAGTAAGCGAAGAATGGTGTAGGAAACACTGCTTGTCCAGCAACCCGACAAAAACGGAGCTAGGTTTCTTCACAGGTAAAATAAAGGTAGAACTCCCCCTGATATTCCAAAAACATCCTGAATTCTCAGAATCACTGAATATCTAGGAATTATGCTTAATAGAAAACTGAATTGAAGCAAATATATCCAGCTCAAAGCCGAAAAAGGAAATAGGACTTTCTGGCAAAGTCGCCGCGCAATTGGGAGACTTTTATGGTCCAGAGCCGGTTATTCCACTTACCTCCTATATGTGCGACTCGATGGAGCCTGAGACTTCCTAAAGCTATTATGAGAACAATACCTTATATAATTTAATTCCATATTGAAAGGTACCGTTAGACGGTCCCCTAGGTCTTTCGCCTTCTTAATTTTTTTATGTTAGTAGCTAGGGTAGATGATGAAAGGAAGATCAACTGGTATCTGTACTTCCTCCAGAAAGAAGGTTCAGAGGAGTAGGTAGGGCGAAAGGGTAAATTGAACCATACCTACTGCGTACGCTCTTCCTTTAGCTGAAAAGGGAGGTTTTTTTGAGGGAGGGTTATTGCCGTCTTCCTTCAATTAAACTTGATGTTTTCATGGGGTTTCGGTAGCATAAAGAGCAATGCGCAAGCGGCTCGCTGGGAGTTTTACGATTTGGGCACCGATCGTGGAGTATTGTATAATGTATGAATTTTGACGTAAAATTGCATTACAAGGAAGAGCCTTGTTACCCAATGCGACATGGGAAAGATTTCATGGAATTTCAAATTTTGGTAAGTATTTCCCAATGAAAAATGAAGAAACATCTCTTCATGGTCTAGTTCCGAAGAAATAATTTCACCAAAATGACCTTGAAAAAACAATTTGGGTTTATGTTATAATGAACATGTAAGTACAGCGCTTTCCCTTACCCACAACTGCTAATGCTATGCAAATTGCGCTCTTCTTCTAGCATCTAACGCCCATCACCCGATTACGTATTTCTGATTTAAATACAAGAGGATTCCGTAAACGATGTAATCTGACTTTCTAATTGTATCTAACGTAATTTTTGTCTTTTACAAATCGGTCACGAGCTATTGTCGCGATTAGTATGACAATTACAAGCTACCATTGGCCATTTTCAGAAAGAAAGAAGATTTCCAATTGTATAAATTTCTTAAGATTAGAAATCGATCGAGGAAATTCTCATGGGATGTGTAGAAGAGTTAATCCTTGATCTTGACATGCTGCGGTCATTTACAGTAACGCAAGTGAAAGTTCATGTTCCTTTCTACGTTCGCTTTATACGGGAAACAAATTTATGCGGCCACCAGCATCAATTCGGCTTGTTTTTGCAATTGAGTGAAAGTTTCGAATTCCGAACAGGCGCTTCTTTTGATTAGTCGCGCACGTTCGCATTAAATTAGGCTGTAATCTCTTACACAATATATTTGACTTACATTTAACATCATAACATTTTAGAAGGTACAACAATATCGATAATTTGGTTTATGTACATGCGGAAGAAAGGTTCTATATACAGAAAGGGATTAGGCTAAGACTTGGTGTCATCGCCATTCCTCGTGGTGATCGTGGTGGTGGACTGTCACCCAAAACTTCTGCCAGATTGGTTTCCAAATCTTCTTCCATGCCGGCACCTGGATTTCCTTCCAAATTGGCACGGAGATTTGTTTCCAGTCGTCTTTCCAAATTAGCTTTTTGTCCGTAACCCAGACCTCCTTCTTCTCCGTCCTCCAAATCTGTACCTTCTCCTGCTTCCAGATCAGTTCCTTTTTCGGTATCCAAATCTGCTTCTTTTCCGTTCTCCATTCTTGCACTTTCTTCGGGACCCAAATCTCTTTCTTGTGCGTTTTCCAAATTTGTTTCTTTTCCACCCTCCAGATCTGCTGCTTTTCGGTTCTCCAAATCTGCTGCCACACCGAAACCCACTCAAGCTTCTTTTCTGGGATCCACACCTGCTTCTTCTCAGTCCGCCATATCTTTTTCCACTCTGGTTTCCAAATCAGCTTCTTCTTCCATATATCGTGAGCCGTGTACTCGTTCCCGTGATGGTCTTTGCCCAAGTAATGATCGCCATGGATTCCCTCTTTGACCCAAACAGGGACCCAGATCTTTTTCCAGTCGGGAACCTGGATTTCCTTCCATATCGGTACTTGAATTTCTTTCCAAATTGGTTTCCACACCTGTTTCTTGTCGGGCACTTGGATTTCCTTCCAATCTGGTACTTTATGCTCGATCCACTCCGGTACTTGTATCTCTTTCCACGCGGGTACTTGCGTTTCTTTCCAGAACGGTACCTGAATCTCCTTCCATGCCGGAACTTGAATCTCTTTCCATATCGGTTTTGAGATCACTTTCCAGTCGGGCACTTGGTGCTCCTTCCAAATTGGCACTTGCACTTCTTTCCAAATCGGCACTTGAATCTTCTTCCAGTCCGACTTCCAGACGAGCTTCTTCTGCGTCTGCCAGACCTTGACCCATTCAGGTTTCCAAATCAGCTTCTTTGTCCAGTACCCTTTAGGCTCCTCGTGAAATGATCGCTTAACGCGTGTTACACTACTTGCGGGTTTCGTATGCGATGGTATCGCAACGCATCCGATAAGTACCTACAAAAGACGAGCATTAATTAATTAATAATCACTACACTAATCACACACTAACCAAAATTGTAATCCACCGCATTTTGTTACGTATAGCCCCACGGGGGGTTCCTCAAGTCACACCGTCGTCGGTATACTAGGCTGACGCGGATTCCTTCCTATTTTATACCTCGCTATCATTCCTTTGACTTTCCCCCATTGTTAGATACGGCGATTACTGACGGAGGGGTTTCGTTTTCCTCCACATCTGCACGGCGCGCATAAAGTGGGGCCAAAATTTTTTACAAATTTCGCATACCGACCGGTCCAAATTTTGAAATTACGTAAACCTGGGGAAGTGAAAGGGATATGCCTTTGAAACGTTTCCGTACATTATATTCCGGTATCCGCGCCTTCAGTTTTTACGTAACTCAAAACCGCTTCTTCGGGGTGCAATTGAAATTACATGTCCGCGTTATCGCTGTCTTAAATCCAAGGCAAGCCCATTATATGCAAAGTTAGCGGCCGCCAAGAGCTTCATTATAATTTTAATACGCGATGTAGATTGCGTAATTTAATGTAAAATATGCACGAATTTCTGTAAATGTAGATTCTTGGTAACAGGCGATTGACTCCGTTATTTTGATTAATGGCACCGCGGATCTCAAACGAAAGTGGGCTGGTGAATTTCATTCATTCGCCAGGTGAAAATGAAGGTTAAGCGCGGTACCTCGTTCTTGTAATCTACAAAGTAATAAATTTCTATTGTAAACTCCTCTCTTTAATTATAGAACATGATGAAATTTTTAATTACTTCGGTACTTACCAGTCTTTGTGTGCCATTATGGGTCTTTTGTTTGGGTTAGTTGCGAATTAAGTTAATTCTTTAAGCTTCCCGGAAAACGTTTACCACTTTATCGCGGAATTAAACATAAATAATGAATATTAAGTGGCGAGGAAGAACCAGTTTTTCGGTTGTGCGAAATAGAAAAAAAAAGTAGAAATCTTCTCTGAGTTTGCACCCCCACAAAGGAAAAACCTCGTCGTTTCCGGCAATTTGGAAATTTTTTCTGTCGACTAACCATTTATTCCATGGAAGAAGTACCTCATACAGTTCCGTTTCTTCGCTGTATCATGTTGTTTGCTCATCTCGTGCGCACTGCAGGATCTTAGCAATACGAGAAGAAGGGCCTCTAAATAACTTTTTTCTATTTAGTAAATGGTTCTCTTTCGTGTTAAATTAATTATAGCCAATGCCAGAGTAGAGCCAACCTATTCTGATGTTTTTCATGTACATGCCATTTATCATTGTATCGGTTGTTGTCTTGTTTTCCGTTTGTATATAATGGATCTCGGTTTCGTTTTATTAATTTGTGTAAATGTCTTTGACTCGATTACCTGTTGTACGATTTGAGATGTTTGACTTGCGTATTTCTCTTGCATTTTGTGGACGTAATTGATTTGTGTTATTCCAGCTTTTTTGCCCAAGGAAGGTTTTTTCCTGCCCATATTTCCATTCCATTCCATTCCAAGTTTCTTGTCTTTTCATAAGTACATTCTTCGTTTTTTCGGAAACCGCTGAGCCCACCACCAAATAACTACGTTTAGACATACTCCTGAATATCCAATCCACCGGGCTAACAGACGGACGGAGGGAGGGACGGAAGGACATGTGTGTATGTATGTGGATAAGCGCAACTTTATTCTCGCAAAATGCGCTAAAATGAGCCTACAGAACATACAGGAGAGACACACGAAATCTACAGAATATGCATAATCTACAACATCTACACAATCTGAAGCAACTTGAGGACCTACAGAATCTATACAATCTATCGAATCTTTAGAATCTAAAAGATCTAGAACATCTACAGGGCTTACATAATCTACAGAACCTTTACACTCTAAAGACCAATGTGCAGAATGTACAGTATTACAATCTAAACAAGTATAAATTGTGCACAACTCTTGTGCAGATAAAGGGCATTTTTTTAAAGCGAAATATCTTTTGTTTTGGCATCACCAATGGATATATTTCTTGCAGACGTCTCAATCGCCTTTTGTGAATACCCTCTTTCGACAATCCGTTGTTGAGGTATAAGGGAATATACCCGATCACGATAAGAGGTCGAGGAGGAGGGCTATACTTGGTAGAAATTAATTTTTCCCGTTGAGACCTTTCATTAGAGTACCATGAAGGATCAAAATAATTCCACTCCTTTCCCCCTTACCCTCCTCCCCGTATTTTGATAAGAAGACAGAAAGAAGTGCAGTAGTTGGTAGAAAACGGTTCCTTCCGTTGAGACCTTTAATTAGAATACAATGAGAGATAAATTAATTTTTACCCCCCCCCCCCCTCCTCAGGCCACGTCGCTCACTGATCTCGAAAAAGAGTCGCACGGGAAGGTTATAGTTTGTACAATCCAATTTATTTTGATGAGACCTTTCATTTAGAATACCATGAAGGGTAGAACATGTGTTTACCCCCCTCCCCCCTTTCTAAAGTTTAACTTGGCACCACTAAAGGCATGCGTATGCTCAGGAGATAATTTGTGGGGGGGGGGGCCCCCCTTTTAAACAGCGAAATTTGATGGCCGTCTGGCACACCTTCCAGGTATGGGCTACCTACTGCAAAAAATTACAGGACTCTAGGACCATTCCCCTACAAGTAGTTCAAAACGGCAGAAGTGGGACGGACGGACAAAGCGCAAAAAATAGCACTTTTCTTTAATTCTTAAAAAAAGGCGCTACGACGGGATCTCCAAAATCTACGAAATCTACAAAATTTGCACAATTACAATATCTGCCGAATTACAGGATTATACAGATTCCACAGAATCTACAGTATCCGTAGAATTTACAAAACCCTACAGGACTTGCAAACCCTTCAAAACGCACAGAATCTACGTAAATCTACAGCATTTTCAGACTCTAGAGGATCTACAAAATCTAAAGAGCCTACAATGCTTACAGAATCTATAGAATATGCACAATCTACAGAAACTGCAGAATTTACAGGACCTACAAGGTGTACAATGTGTACAGAACCTACAGTTTGCAGAATGCACGGAAATTACGAAATATACAGAATGAAACGAATATTGTACAGAATCTACACAGTCTAAAGTCCATACAACATCTGCAGAATAGGCATAACCTACTCAATTTATAGAGTTTACAGGATTTACAGAATCTACGGAATCTACGGAAAGACCTTACACGATCTAATGAATAAGAATTGTTACAAAGTGATCAAGATCTCCAGAGTCTACGGAATTAACAAAACCCTACACATTCTGCAGTACCTACAAGATCTGCAAAATTACTGAATACACAGAATCCTCAAAATCTACAGATTCTACAGGCCCTAAAGACCTACAGGACCTACAGAAACTACAGGACCCAGTCAATCTACAGAATTTTTAGAATCTAAAGGATCTATAAAACCTAAATAGCCTAGATAGCTTACAGTATCTGCAGAATCGGCAGAAACTGCAGAATCTAAAGGTGTACAAAATGTGCAGAAATTACAGTTTACAGAATTTACAAAATCTGCAGAATCTACGAAACTACAAATTCTAAAGAATGAGAAGAACGTACAGAATCCGCACAGCCTAAAGTCTATACAAAACCTGAAAAATAATCAAATCTGCAGAATGTGCAGAATCTGAAGAACCTACAGAATGTACCCAATCTACAGAATCGACAGAATCAACAGAATCGACAAAAATAAGCAGAATCGACCAAATCTACAGAAATAATAGAGTCAACAGAATCAACAGAATCGACTACAGAATCTACAAAATGTACCGAGTCCAAACAATCTACAGAATCCACAAAATGTACCGAGTCTAAAGGATCTACAGAATCTACAGAATCTACAGAATCTACAGAATCTACAGAATCTACAGAATCTACAGAATCTACAGAATCTACAGAATCTACAGAATCTACAGAATCTACATAATCTACAGAATCTACATATTCCTACAGAATCTACAGAATCTACAGAATCTACAGAATCTACAGAATCTACAGAATCTACAGAATCTACAGAATCTACAGAATCTACAGAATCTACAGAATCTGCTGAATCTATAGAATCAGCAGAATCTACAGAATCTATGGAACCTGCAGAATCTGCGGAATCTGCAGCTACAGAATCTACAGAATCTACAGAATCTACAGAATCTACAGAATCTACAGAATCTACAGAATCTACAGAATCTACAGAATCTACAGAATCTACAGAATCTACAGGATCTACAGGATCTACAGCAGAATCTACAGAATCTACAGAATCTACAGAATCTGCAGAATCTACAGAATCTACAGAATCCACAGAATCTCAAGAATCTCAAGATTCTACAGAATCTACTGAATCTACATAATCCTACATAATATACAGAATCTACAGAATCTACAGAATCTACATAATCTACATAATCTACATAATCTACATAACCTACATAATCTACATAATCTACATAATCTACATAATCTACATAATCTACATAATCTACATAATCTACATAATCTACATAATCTACATAATCTACATAATCTACAGAATTTACAGAATCTACAGAATCTACAGAATCTACAGAATCTACAGAATCTACAGAATTTACAGAATGTACAGAATCTACACAATCTTGAGTACAGATGAAATCGACATCACATACATGACCTACACTACACAGCCTAAGAAACATACGGAATCCATAGAACCCCGTAATGCATAGAGACAATAGGATCTACAGGAATCACATGGTTTACAGGATATACAAGTATCTGCACCTCACACTGCAGATTAATTTCTATATACAGGGTGCAGTATCTAAGACCCTCGGATCATAAGTCTATTACCATAAATTTAGTTTCTTTGAAAACAATTCGAAAAAGGGTCAAATTTTGAGGATAAAAGAATAACATAAATCGCTTTTATGTACCAAATTTGGTTCCAATCGGTTTAGCCGTATAGTCGGAAATGAAAGTACAGACCTACAGACCGACAGACCGATAGACCGACAAATCGAGATTGGGGTTCCTGGTTCTTGAGAACGTGTACTTCCAATATATAACCTCCTTTACTAACGTGCGGGTGGTAATAAGTACTCTCCAAGTATCTTTCAATTTTTCAATATAGCATGGAGTGTTCCA